GGGGGGGATGACAAATGTTCATTTATCGAATCAACAAATATGAATGCGGCCGTTATTTGAGACATTCGGTCTGAAAAATTTGAGATAATTCGACTAATGTTTTATTTACATAGCATCGGCGAATAACAGTTGTTTATAACATTCGATCTTATGTTGCTAATGAACTCAAATAAGGGATGTCCCGCAGCACTGGCGGCAAATTGGGCGCAACACGCTTAATTCTCAATTTTAATTATTAATCAAATATTAGATATTATATTGATCATTATAGGTAATGATGGATGACCTGTCTTGTCCACACCCTTCCCTTGTCATCACTACCTGTCATTTATTACCCCTGTAAGTTACGCCTCCTACATTAGTACTAACGTTCTTTCTACCCCAGACTTGCTACGTGTGACGTACTGTGGTGGGAAACCTCTGGTTCACATTAGGCCGGGTATACACAGCAGTAGCCCGTATATTACTCTACTGGTTTATCATCCGAAATAGATCATTGATCTGATTAACGTTTATTCACCGTAACCATGGTAACCATTCATCACCACGTTTGAAATTATTCACCATGGTGAACTTATAAGTGGAAACATGTAATTGTACCGTAATTTGTCTCTCATGTCACGTGCTTGTCGACAACGTCCCTTGGCTATACACACTGTATTCCCCAGTCTCAATTCTCTGCTTCTGCACAAATATAGATAGACGTCTGGTTACTAATTAACTCACTGCCCATGCGCACTGGGCATATTAAGCCTTAATGTTACAACCTGGGACCATCGCGAGCGTGTTATTTTTTTCATTGTTAGATTGATTCGAGCTAAAGTAATTATTAAGATGTCCAAGGGATAGGAAATTGAACGGAATGTCATAGTTTATTTACAGAGATAAGATACTCATATCCTGTCACGTGGCATCTGACCTGCATCCTCCGAGTGCACCAGGTGACACATGTGGGTATTAACTGTTCTCCCCCGGATTGGAATAGTCAAGCCCATGGTGTGATCAGATGATGGTCGTCTGCGTTTTATTCTGTAGTATATTTCCAAGCCGTGTATCATGTCACCCACCTGTATTTCATTGACCTGCTTTAATTAGCGTCGTTATTATCGTCGGCCAGTACCCACAATACAGTGTTTGCAATTATGATGCGATGGGTTATCAATATATGAGACGGCCGGCAGTTCGCCATCCTTCCTCTTTTCAACTTCCCCCAACGTCACACTATAAATAATCCTCCATATTTGTTCTCTTCGATTCATTGATTAATGTTATCTTAGGATTTCTGACTTTCTTTGTGTTGAGTTGTCTCAATGTTGTCACCAAACTCAGTCACATGATTCGTAATAACACAATTACCATATTTACCAGACCGATAACTTATTGACATTTGATTTCAAGTATTAATTTACAAATTGGCAGTACGTCAAATAAGAAAATACTGTATTTAAGTATGCAAATGAGCAAAAATCTCATTTAGGACAAGGATACATGTTAAGTACACAGTTACGCTGATGTAGTGTCAGACCAATATTTATTTTGGGTTACTAGACTTGAATCAGAAAAAAAAAATTGCGAAAAAGGAAAAAAAATGCGAAAAAAATAAATACGATCAATGGCAGTTTTAGTTTCTGCTGACACACTGTTGGGAGGGAAATATGTATCGGCTGGAAATACCCCCCTCCACGAGCAGCACCTTTCCTGTCCGAGCCACAGAGTGTTTATATCATGAAATCTAATTGAAAAAGAACAGAAAACATGCAATCAAGGGTGAAATATTTAATTCACAAACCTCAAAACAAATTTCTGTTAATATATACGCATAATTAACCTGTTTTATTTATTAACTAACATGTGTCCCCTTGGGATATTTACTCCCTAAATGTTACATTCTAGACTTTTAAAATAAAGTATTTTAATTAATGAAGTATGCAGATTTCCGAGGTCCCCGTCCTAACCCGGATGTCAATGCATAAGGGAGTGGACGTAAGCAAAGAGCCATTAATAATTGTGTGTTTTTTCAGTAATACTCGTCTGTTACATCCATGTTTGCGTGACGAGGCCTTGACAGTATCGTGTGTTTTCTTTTAATATTCAGACACATGGCGTAGTTTTTCAATAATTCATCGCCGTTTTTTAGCTCCGCTGTCGACTTTGTCGAGCGGAGCTTATCATATGAGTGATTGTCCGTCGTCGTCGTCCGTCGTCCGTGTCAATGTTTTACTTTTTCGACTTCTTCTTGAAAACTACAAGCCTGAATGCTTTGATACTTGGTGTATATGTACCTTGGGTAGACCTCTCTTAGGTTTGTTCATTTCATGTTGATATCTTCAATTTTCTAATTTTGGTGAATATTTTTGTCATTTTTGGTAAAAAGTGATATTTTCGACTTCTTGTTAAAAACCGCAAGTGCAATTGCTTTGATATTACATATATAGGTACTACATGTGGACCTCTCTCAGATTTGTTCATTTTGTAATGATATCTTTAATTCTCTAATTTTGGTGAATATTTTTGTCATTTTTGGTAAAAAGTGATATTTTCGACTTCTTGTTAAAAACCGCAAGTTCGATTGCTTTGATATTACATATATAGGTACTACATGTGGACCTCTTCTCAGATTTGTTCATTTTGTGATGATATCTTCAATTCTCTAATTTTGGTGAATATTTTTGTAATTT